GGCGTAGCCCCAGGGCCCTTTGGCAGTGGATATTCACTATGGGCACTTGGCAGAGCGGGGCAGCAGGCTGTCAGGAGGATACACATCAGCACATGGGCTTCCGGAGTCTCATTGCCTCTATCTGAGGCGCTGGTCTTTGACTCCGTGACAAATGCCTGAGACAATTAGAAAGGAGTTTATTTTGAGTCATGGTTTCATGGATGAAAGTCCACAGCCTCTGCTTTCGGCTGTGTGCGTAGGGTCAGCATAGTGACAGAAGGATAGAGCGGAGGGACATTGCTCACCTCGTGACAAGCAGGAAGCAGAGAGAAGACAGGGGACACATCCCAGGGACGGATGTCCTCCAATAGACCCCACCTCTTACTTTCTACCACCATCCAACAGTACCATCAAATTATAGACCCATGAAGGGATCAATCACTGATTAGGTCAGAGTCTTTGAATTTCTTCCCCAAAGCCCATCGGCTGGTGTAGTAGTTACTTCTCATTGTTGCAACAAAGTACCTAGAAAAGCGACCTAAAGCAGGATGGGTTTAGTTGGGCTCACCGTGCAGGGGCACCATGGAGGGGAAGCCATGGCAGTGGGAGCTTGAGACAGCTGGTCAGCTCATATCTGCAGTCAGGAAGCTGGGAGAGATGAATGCTGGTACTCAGCTCACCCTCCCCTTTCAATGCGTCTTCTTGTGGCTGTTGTTATTGCTGCTATTATTGTTATTATCACTATAATTGTCATTGTGCGTGCCCACTCCCAAACATGCTCACATGTAATGCACCCGCCCCTCCATGGTACATGTGGAGGTCTGAGGACAGACTCACGGAGCCGGTTTTTTCTCCTGTCAGCGTCGCCTGTGTTCTTGGGCTTGAACTCTGTGCTCAGAGTCGCACAGGAAGTGCCTTTCCACACAGGGACCATCTCACCATCCCTTGTCTTTTCTTTTCATGTAGTCCAGGACCTCAGCCCTGACAATGTGCCACTCATATTTGGGGTGACTCTTCCTACCTTGGTTAACACACTCTAGATAATCCCTCACAGGTCGGCCCAGAGTTTGTCTCCTAGGTAAATCCAGATCTATCAGGCTGACAATCAATATTAGCTATCACTGCTGGCCACCGAGCCCCCAAGACATGCTCTTTCAAGTGTATCTCAGGCTGAAACTGTTGCATGGGGCTTCCCTTTCTTGGGGATTTTTTTTTTTGGGGGGTGGTTTTATTTAAGACCCGTGAGAATCAGGTCTCAACCGTCACAAGCGAGGGTCCTCGAGTTGCAGGCTTCCCCGTCGGAGAGATGGATGGACTAGCGGACCATGATAACTAGCAGAGCCGTACTATGCTCGAGAGCTACTGGATGGTCACGGTGCGACGACGTGACCTGACACCCAGCAGGTGCTGTGTGTGCATCAGTTGAACCTGAATGGTAGGCGTCGCTTACCCTCTGCTCTGACTGGAGGACTGGCAGGTGAGGGTTTCCTAGGATTCTGACTCAGTTGCCAGTTGCGCAGGGCAAGTGGAGCAGGTCTCAGGGGTGAGCGCCAGGGCTGACGGGGAACTTGGGACTTGTGCCCTGAGGTGAAAGAGGGGAGACTGGCATCCCACAGTGGGGATTTGCAGGCACGTCCTGGCCGACGTCACCAGCGGTGTATTCTGGGCTTAGAAGGATTTAGCTCCCTTTTTTTGGTTCAGGGTGCTGAGGAGGCAGAAGGGGCCTGGGTGGACACAGGTGAACTCCACCTGAAGGAGGACATTGCTAGTTTCAGGGCAGGACGTGGTTCTCGGGAGGGGCTTGCTCCCTGTCTCAGGAGCTCTTCCGTCTCAGCCCCATGAGACAGGGCCTCATGTGCGGAACCGATTGTTCCTCTTGGAGTGGCTCTGGTCCCTGCGGAGGCTGTGTTCTACTGTGGCCCTGGAGTAGAATGTCAAGTGTGTCGGGCGAGGGACTGTCCTGCCCTCCAGCAGGCTCACCGTGACTTCTGTGTGCGGTCTGGCTGCTCTAAATGGCAAGGTCTTCCTTGATAGAATGAACATTTAACATTTTCAAAAGATCAGGGAAACATCACAGAGCCCTGGCGCTCCTAGGAAGGGCGTGAGTCACAGGTGCCAGAGGGCCACTCGTCTCGTCCTTTTCTTGGTCATTGAGCTTGTGAGTCACACCCGGGTCATTTCTTCTGAAGTTCTTAATTGAAAAAAAAAAAAAGTGTGGCCTTGTAGAAGTGCAAGCCGAGATACTGTCATGGAAGGATTCCAGATGTTCCCTGGGCAGAGAGATGGCTCTGTGATGTCACCGTCACGCTGAACCTGTACTTCTTTGTCATGAAGGCTTTCCAAGGGGGCAGCAATGCTGCCAGGGTCTCTGGGATGGTGGTCCTTGCTTAGCTTCTGCAGTGCAGGCTGGGACTGGAGACGGAACACCAAGGCCTCGGTCAACTGCGACAAACTCACTGTCTCCAGATCAGTTCACTACAAGAGCCCTGGACCTGGCGTGTCGTCAAACCGACTCAGCTTGCTGCCTCCAAGAGAGCTCAGACTGGTGGGAACTGGAGCTCCGGGGAGGCCTGGTGCCTGTTTCCTACACCCCATGTTTCTAAGCTCTCTCCCGTTAAGTCAGCAGCAATGGTCCACATGTTCTTCCCCGAGGCAGCTGCTTGCTAACGCCCAACATGTACTCTGAGTTGATAGCATTGTAAGAATCCCGGGAGACGCTACAAGCTCACAGGCCTGCCTGGACAGTGGCTCTTTTCTTTCTGTGAATTTCAGATGGGGCATTCTCTTGTTTCTTTTGCAGAGGGAGAAGCAAAGCTCTGACCAGAGGGCCCTTGGGTAAAATGTCTACGTTCTGGGGCTGAGAGAGCCACAGAAGATGGAAGGAAGCCGTTATAACGCAGGGGAAAACTCAGCCCACAAAGAAGGCAGGTCAGAGTGGACTCAGCCATCACACTGGCAGTTGGAAAGGAATCGTCTAGGGCTTGAGGTCTTGTGTTTCCTCAGCCAATCACAGGGACCTGCTATCTGTTAAAGCTGGTTTGAATAAACAGTCCTGCTAGTGGCTAGTATCATTTGGAAGTGGGCACGGACCATTCTTGCAGAACAGCCGTCCTTCTGCGGGCCTTGTGTCTTGCAAACAAGCAGAAGTTGGTCCGTGTGTGGGGAGCCTTCTGGATCTCTTGGGCCTCCCTGTCTGCGTGGTTTTCCTTGACCTAAGCCTCCTTTCTCCAGGTCCAGTTGTGGAGTCCAGGGACTGGTACTGGACAAGAAGAGTAAGGCTCTGCTTACCGTGAGCAACTGGCGGGGGGGGGGGCTTAATTTAGTTCAGTTTTGGTTTTGAACCAATAACTTATCTTTTTAGTTTTACAGCTCAAAATGATAGGAAACATGGATAGTATCTTTGCTCCTATCAGCTCTGTCTGATAGGGTTCCTTGTGGTAGGATTTTGGATACCTTTATTAAATATAGGTAAGACACGTGTGTGCGTGCGTGCTTGAGAGAGAGAGAGAGAGAGAGAGAGAGAGAGAGAGAGAGAGAGAGAG